AAAAGAATAAAAATGCATATGCCTTTAATGAACCATAAAATATCAATATATTTGATATGAAATCAATAGATTTTAGAGATACATTAGTAGGGATTTCCCCCCCTTTTTTTTAATTTGTGAATTTTAGGGAAGTTATTGAATGATAGATATTGGGTATTTGTTTCTTTTGATGAGATAAATATTGGGTAATCAAATTTAATTCTATACAAAACTGAATTTTTATTGAAATGGAAATTTTGATAAATGTTTACCTCATTTTTTATTAAATTTAGTGGGTGAATTAGTATAAATTGAATAGAAGGTACAAACTACACCACCTACATAAGTGTACACATCATTTTGATGAAAATTAAAGTTTAAATGAAAATTATTAAATCTTATCAATTTTTAATATGAGTATAGCTCAATAAATAAGATATTGGCTATTACTATATATATATAGTTGATTTTGCATGCGCAACTATTCTAACCGGAAAAAAAAAAGTAAAAATCAATTTTATTTTCAAAATAAAACACAACTAAAGGAAGGCATTCATTTCACTAATTAATGTCAAGATTCGATTTGATTTAAATTAATTAATTAATTGTAGTACAGCGGTAAAAACTAATTTTTTACGGACCGAAATTTAATGAATGACAGCAAACGTTTTGTATCCAAGCCTTTTGAGTGCTGTTACAGCTGTCGCTGGTCCAACGTCTGAGTCTTTTGGAAAATTGCAGGTTGAGAAATTTCACTCACAAGTTTACTTTTTTCTTTTTCCTTCTATATATAACGTAATTTTGACCTTTTTTTTTACTGTTCCTATATCACATCTAAGTTAATCTTGGATTGAATTATATAATTTTTTTAGTTCTAAAAAAGATATATCACTTTTTTTTTATTTTAAATTTTGTACTATATTTTATACTATCTATCCCATCTTTTACTACAGTAGATATATAAAGGTAAATTAAACATTTTGTTACTAAATTTTAAAAAAGGACATTAATTACCTTATTGAAATTATCAAGAGAAGAGTTTGGCTAAAATCGTCCAAAAATAATTATACCTTTTAAAATAAATAATGAATAAAATTTGTAATCTGAACTACAATATCAATACAAATTTAGAAACTAGAAAATTAATATAATTTTTATGGAATAAATATTCTTTTTGTATGAATTATGAATATGATACAATACATTAATTTTGGTTTTGTTTAAATAAAATAACCTAATAGTAAAATATTTTGTTACGATAAGAATTTGATAATTTTGACAAATTTTAGTTTATAAGATAACACAAAAAATACTTTAGTGTATTAAAATATCACAAATCTATATTTAAAAAATTAGGTTAATATATTACTATTTGGGTCATTATATTTTTAACTTTGGTTTAGTTTGATCCCCTTACTTTCAAAAGGTTCATTTTGATATATCTACTTTTAAAATTTGACAATTTTAGTCTCTATTTTCAAACTTTTTACACAAATTCTACACATAATGAAAACTATTTAATATAAAGTCATGGTTACATCTCAATAAATATATTAAGTGTAGTGTCGTGTTAAAATTATAATAGAAAAATTATATTAAAAAGAATAATAATAAAGGACCAAACGTTCATTTTTTAAAATATAGGGATCAAAACAAAACAAACATTTTGTAAGTACATCAACTAAAATAAATCAAAGTTTAAAATACTTGACTAAAATGAATATTTTAAAAGTAAAATAACCAAATAGATACCTAAATAGCAAGAGAAAGATATATTTTTGTTTTATTTAATTTAACTGTCTATATTTTTGCATGGATAATAATTTAACTATCTATATTTTTGCATGGATTTATATATAACTGTCTATATATATTTTGAAGAATATTTACAAATTTATATTATAGTTGAGAAATATTGAAAAGATCACTATATTTAGAACAACTAATACTCGAACTTAAATCAATTACATGTCAATAATCGACTTAATACAATTAAAACAAAATATTTAAAATCCAAATTTAAAATAAACATAAATATAAAATATAACCATTTATTTGATATAATTAAATATTTTTCAAATCAATGCCATCTAAATTTATACTTCAAATATAGTTTTTCAAATTCAAACTATCTAACTCTACGCCTCAAAAACAGGCTACTTAAATCTAAGCTACACAATTCTCAATATATGTGATTCTGTACCGACTTAACATTCACAGGTTCAATATATCCAAATATCCGTGATTTTGTACAAACTTAACATTCATAGGTTCAAGATATCGAGGCCAAATGTCCCTTATATTTTTTTATATATAAAAAGTATAAATCCCACTTTAAGTGGAGAATTAGAGTGCATGACGTGGACATGCGGATATTATGACTATATATTAATAGAAAAAGTTTGTTAGGATTTTTTTGGTGGCATTCGAATTCTTGTTATATTTTTATAAATTGTTTATGAGATATTTCACTCACCATAAATTTAATACGTATTCTTTTTAAAATTTAAAAAAATTATTTTATTTTTTCAAATATAACGTGTGAGTTTTCAGCGTATTTTTCATTGTATTTAATTTTAAGTTCGACGGGTAGCCATAAAAAAAAAAGAATAATTGATAGACATATATTATTGATTAAAAAAATTAGAAATTTGGACTTTTATAATCTATATTGTTGAACTAAGGCATTTAATTCGAAGGAATGAGAATAAGGAACGAGAACCAAAATTTTCATTTTCTTTTATGGTGTTTAGTCAATTGTAGGAATGAAATTAATTATTGGAATCACCTCAAACTTTGTAATCACTCCCTTGCATAGTCTCAATCTCATCATATTCATTATTCCACGTACCCCACACTTTTATAATAATTACTTTACCATTTTTACAATTTATCTCTTATCTATTAATATTTATAATTTGTTAATTAACTGTTTTACAATTTTTATTATTATTATTATTATTATGTTAATTTATATTACTAATAATTCGTCTTCTAATAATATCTCACGCAACTTTTTTAGTTGATGTGATTTTATTAAAAAATATTTAAAATTAATATTTAATTTTTTAATTTCACTTTGTTATTATTAATTAATATTAATAAAATTTTTAAAATAAAAGTCATTATTATTAATATATTATAACAATAAAATTTAATAATAATTTATATTAAATGATAGATTGTTGGGATAAAAACGTTAGTTTATGTAATTTATTTTAATTTAATTTGTTAATATTAAATAAATTGTTATAATAAAAAGTATTTATCATTAATAAAATAATAAAATAATAATATTTATTACAATATTAATTAAAAAGATTAGCACCATAATGTATTTGTCATTTGCTATAAATAAGAAATTAGTACACTAATAATTGTTATATATTTGATTCCTATTTCCATTTCCTATGATTTTATAAACAACTTTATAATATTTTGATTTTGATTCTAAAAAATTTATAGTAAACAACATTCAAGAATCTAATTGATTTTTTATTTCGATTCCTTTCCATTATGATTCATAATAAGTAAACATGACCTAAAATAAAAGAGTTTAAGTTTGATTTAGAATATACAATCTCTGTAGAAATTCTAACTTTATGCAACATTTGACCAAATATATTTATTTTATGTCATTTCCTTAAATACCTCTTAAAAAGCATATTTAGTAATTTTCTTTGTTTATCATTTATATTTTAAGAAATATTCCAAAAAATCATATGCAGGTTATACCCGTTTTCAATAAACGTGTATAAAATTCTGAACCAAATGGGCCCTTGCTCAGAAATATAATAAAACATTATATGTCACTATTTTTTATATATTCTTAAAAAATAAATAAATATTTGTAGAAATAATACATTGGGTTTTATTTTTCTTTTCAAGAAGTGTGATATTTTAAATATGGTAGTTGAGATATTGTGACTTATTTTGAATTTCGATATTTTTTTGAGTACAACATGTATGAGTGGAGTATCGAACTCTTGGTTGTGAGATATATGTCAATTACATCAAGCTATTTTATGCTCGCTTCAATTGGAATTTCTCATTTTATTATCTTTTAAAATTTGAAAATCAAATACCATGAGTATAATATACTATTTTTAGTGTCATTTTCGAAATTCCATTCAATAAATAAGTAGATATAGTTATGTATACGTTTTCTTTTATAAAATTGATAAATATATCAACATTCGGCTTTCAAATTATGGGTGCAAAAAAAAAAGGTTGATTAAAAATAAGTTTAATTATATTATTATTCTGTTTGGTTCATATATATATTTTTTGTTTATTTTGATATATTGTTGTTGATCATTTTTTTTTTAATGTTGGTTAATTTTGCGTTCAATTTTGGTACTTGTGTCTTTTAAAGGTTATAATTTTGGTTCATCTATTTTAATTTTTATCTCATTTGTTTCCATCACAATTTTAACATGGCAATTCATTCAATAAATTTTAAACTTTTATTAAAATTTTAAAAATATTTATTTAAACCAAAGGTGAACAAAAGAGTATGGTTTTTATTAGAATTTATTTAATTCTAGTCTTAAACAAAATGCAAAATTATAATTAGAGTTTGTTTTTGATTAGTATTAGAGAGTAAAAATTGCTAACACTTTTTTTTAGAAAGAAATTGCTAACACTTTTTAAATGCTAAGGTGAATATGGCAACATTTATCAAGATTTGTAATTTAACTAAAAAAACAAAAACAAAAACAAAAACGAAACCATGAATCTTTCATACTCCTCCACCTTTGAAATAAAGGGACCTAATATTTTAACCTGAGATTCAAGGAGGTTACAGTGCCAAATATTTTCCTTAAAAAATAATTAATATATACATATATATATATATATTATTTTTTTTTTTTGAAGAAAAGAATTAAAAATATATAAGTGCAATAAAGATTTATGCAAATATCGTGGTTAAGATTAGCAGTCAATGCAAATTGTAACAGCAATTTGGAAAGTCCAAAATCGTCGATTCGATTTCTCTGTGTCTTCTCCCTCTGCATGCACTTTTTTCTTCGCGCCCTTCTCTCTCTCTCTCTCTCTCCTCGCTTTTTTTCTTCCCTCTCTCTATCACACTCCACTTCCCGCTCGATCCTTATTAACAATGAACAGTGCTAATGGTTTTATCGTGATTTAGCTCTTTGAGGACCCCCATCTTGTTTCCGTGAAACTGTGCGCGCGATTTTCTTGGTTTATTTGCTGAGTTTGGAGGTGGAACGTGAAAAGATGATCGACTACAGCCTGCCGGTAGCGAAGAGGACGAGGATGAAGCGAGCATTGGCCGGCGAGGAGCATCTGGAGCGTAGGAAGAAGAGGAAGAAGAAGAATCGGGCGGACTCCGCCAGTGCCAACATTCGAGGTCAGGTTTCGAGCGATAGATTTGGCGAGAGTAGTAAGAGGGTTAATACTTCTGAAAATTGTAGCATTAATCGTAGAATGAAGTCGGAGCCTGTTGCTTTGTCTATTGATAGTGATGAGGACAGCGTAGAGGAGATTGATGCTTCTGCATTTGGGACAGAAGGCGGGGACTCCGTCACATTTGTGGCTTCCCAGAGTTCGGGGCTTAAGAATGTGAAGAAATGTAGTACGGGTTTGAAGGGCGGAAATATTGATATAATCGATTTAGAAGACGAGGAAGAAGAAGGGTTTGATTCTGTAAATTCTAATTGCTCAATTTCTAAGTCGGCTGCTGTTGGGAAGAATGGTGGTTTTGATTGCGTTGATGTGGATAATGAAGATGGTTCCAGTGGCTTGATTTTGTGTGGCAAGGAAAACAATGATTTAGAGATATCCCCCAATAAGAGCATGAGGGGAAGTAACTCTGGTGGCTCATACAGGGCTGAGCCCACGGTAGGAGACCGAGAGAAGAGCAAGGAAAAGAATCCTTTGGGGGGAAGTAACTCTGGTGGCTCGTACAGGGCTGAGCCCACAGTAGGAGACAGAGAGACAAGCAAGGAATGTTCTTCTGATGATGGTGTGGAGAAGTTGACTGAATCGGAAGCATCATCAAGTGAAGAAGACAATGGTGACTCCAGTGATGGGACTTATGAACTAGAAAAATCAGAGGAGTCAAGTTCAGAGTGCTCTAGTTCAGAGTGCTCAAGTTCAGAAAGTGGGAAGAGTCGTGGACGTCACTGTGAAGGAACAAAAAGTAGAAGAGAAAGAAGGAAGAGGGTCAAAATTTTTGAAGGTGGTTTAAGAAGAAGAGCGTATGGACTTGACATATTCGTTGATTTCGACAAGGATGGGCGTAATAGCAATTGCAGAAATGAATATGTTAAGGTTGGTGAACAACTTAATCATGTTGCCCAAAGAACTCGCTCACGATTTAGTTCAAGGGCTACAAAAATAAATACCGATCTTGGAACTGTCAATCATCCACTCTGTATTGACGAGGAAGGGTCAGATTTTCAGTGTGATGAGGAGGAATTAGATTCTTCATCAAGGCATGACAGTACAGATTCTTGTGATAGCACTACCGATGATGAAACTTGCAAGCAAAGTACCTGGAGTAGTAAGAAGAAAACTGAGTTCAACAATCAAAGTGGTGACAAGATCTGCAAGCGAAGGACCTGGAGTAGTAATAAGAAAACTGAGGTCAACAGTCAAAGTGGTGATGATACAAACAAGGTTGAGAGCTCTCATGGTGGGAGTAAATTTTGGTTTGATGAAAGTGTACCTCGAATGAACAACTGCAACCAGAGTGAAGATTGTGAAGATTTTCGGAAAGCTCACCCAAAGAATTGCCATGAGTTTGACAATATTATTAAAAGAAAAGGCCACAGTGCATCAAAAAGCCTTCATATTTACAATATTCTCATTGATTCCATAATCGCAGACAAAGAACTGCCTTCAGATGAGTTAATTCCTCCTATAAATCAAGTCTCTGAAGGTGAGAACAGTTCCCATTTTTCTGAGATGCCTCTTCCTTTGAAGTTCTTTGGATTAGAGGAATCACGTATTCCAGAGAAGTCGGAGCATGAAAAAGAACTGGACAAACTGTGGGCAGAGCTTGACTTTGCTCTTAGATCCAGCGAGATTGGTCTGGTGGATTCTAATACAGTAGGTTCATTTCCTAGCAATCGGTTAAGCTTGCCACGTGTTATTATTTATTGTCATCATCTTCAATTTGGCCCCTCAGATTATCATGTTTGTGTCTGTGTGTTAGATTTTTGTGCTCTTTTGAAAGTTACGGGAGTTACAATTTTCGTTCTATATAGATTAAAAAGGTCTGTATTATTGGAAGTTGTCGATTTTCTTCTATAAGTTTTGGCTATTTTATTTTTGGTAATGATCTGAAGTTTTTTCAATAACGAATTGTTTGTATGTGTTAGACTTTCCCTCTCAAACTAGCTAGAGAGTTAGGAGGATTAGAATAAGACGTGTGTTTTCAGAGATTAAAAATTTGTATAACTCAATTTATTTCACCGATCAACCAAAACCTTGGAACGCTTCCTCTGAGGAACGTTGGAGGTACACTTTATTTGTTTTTCTCTAAAATTTTCTGTTAGCTGCATTCTATAAATTACATACTTTTTAAGCTCAAGATAGATGTTAATAAGAATGTAACAATCAATAGAGAATGACTGTAAATATTGACTCTTGATTAGAGTACGAAGGGCTATTAAAATTCATTGATATGGTTGCACAAATAGGTTAACAAGTTCTATGCTGCAGAGATGTTCCTCCTGTTATTTGCTCTTATTTACACTACTCAAGTACAATTCTTATATTTGCTGTTACAAATGATTATATCCTTCATGCGTTAATTATGAATTTTGAAGTGAGTGATCCACGTTAATTTGCAGGTTGAAAATGAAGATGGCTGTCCCACAAAGGTTGAGCAAGTGAATCGTTGTCTTCATGGTGATCATCGGCTCGTACTTGATGAACAAATTGGACTTAGATGCGTATGTTGTTCATACGTCAAATTGGAAATCAAAGATATTGTACCTTCTTTTGTGAGTCATCTACTTTTCTGTTTATTTATGTACGTAGTTCTGAGAAGTATCTCCCTTTTCTGTGTTTCATGTATATTCTTTTGTGAGTCGTGCACTCTTTTTTTTCTCTTTAAGATTATGTTTTAATCCGTGTATTTAATAAATGACTGGACAGCCAATTTATTGTTATTATTATTATTATTATTTTCTCTCTATGTTTGATATTACAAAACAGGTTCTTAAGATGGGTTGAGCTATTTCACTTTCATTCTCAGAGGACAGGAGTTCTATGTTATATTTTAAAAACATTTACTTTTTGGCTTGTCAAATGGCATCGTTGATGTGTTTCTTTGAAACTTCTTGGCAGTTCTTGCATCCATAACATCAAAAAAAAGAAAAAAAAAGCATTGCTATTGATATCATCTTTCTTTTTATATTTCTTTTTATGCTATCTGTTTGGTTTTTTAAAAACTTATATTCATGTATGGAAGATAATGTATGTTCTCTCGTTGGTATATGCTTGTTGACTTCTCATTATAGGATTAATGGCGTTGGTCTCTTTCAGGACAAAAACCCATATGGAAAGTCACAGAAGAGGGAATATGGCTCATTTGAGCGCGTTAAAATTGATGACCTTCAACAGGATTTTGATTGTGACCCCCATGACGGATCTGACTCACCAGCTCATTTTGGACAAACAGTGTGGGATATCATTCCTGGTCTTAGGAATAGCATGTATCCACATCAACGTGAAGGTTTTGAATTCATTTGGAGAAATATAGCTGGAGGAATTTCTCTTGATGAGTTAAGAGAAAGAAATGACTTTAACAGTGGGAGTGGATGCCTTGTATCACATGCTCCTGGTACAGGAAAAACTCGTCTATCTATTGTTTTTCTTCAGACATACATGGAATTATATCCGACATGCCGGCCAATGATTATTGCACCTTGCAACATGCTCCTTACCTGGGAAGAGGAGTTTTTGAAGTGGAAGGTTGACATTCCCTTTCATAACCTGAATAAGCGAGAGTTCTCTTTCAAGGAGAATATTGCAGCTATTAAGTTACTGATGCAAGCTTCTCCGTCACGACCAAGTCTTGCCAATGTTCGGCTTGTGAAACTGTTTTCCTGGAAGAAGGAGAAAAGCATCTTGGGAATTAGTTACAGACTGTTTGAGAGACTTGCTGGAGTTCGACTGAATACTGAAAGTGATAAGGTAAGGAAAATCCTTTTGGAGCTTCCTGATCTTGTGGTCTTTGATGAAGGGCACATACCACGCAATTCTGATAGTCTTATTTGGATGGCCTTGTCCAAAATTAAAACCGAAAGGCGCATCATCCTCTCTGGAACTCCTTTCCAGAATAATTTTACTGAGTTCTATACTACACTTAGGTTGGCTAGGCCAAGTTTGGCTGATATAAATAGTTCCAACGGTGATGAATCTCTTGACAAGAAGCGTGGACGCCCAAAAAATATCCTGAGAGGAAAGTGGGACGCTTTGATTAGTTCCCTTGGCAGAACTTCTGAAGACTTACTGGAAAGTCCTGAATTGAAAGAAATCAGAGCCTTGATCAGTCCATTTGTGCATGTATACAGGGGTAACATACTACAAGAGAAACTTCCAGGGTTGAGAAAATCTGTAGTTATGTTACAGCCAGCAGAGCTGCAGAAGAGTCTTCTTCAGAGCATTCAAGTGAGGAAGAATCCTTTAGAAGTGGAATATGCTGAGTCCTTGATCTCCGTACACCCTTCCCTGATATTGAAATGTGATAAAGAAGATGTTGCTATTGACAAGGATATGTTAGAGCGGAGTAGATTGAATCCTGAATTGGGAGTGAAAATACAGTTTGTCCTGGAAATTATTCGCCTGAGTAAACCTTTGAATGAAAAAGTTTTAGTTTTCAGCCAATACATTGAACCATTGTCCTTGATAGAAGAACATCTTAAGTCTCATTGGAATTGGACTGAAGGGATAGAGCTTTTTCATATGAGTGGAAAACTTGATGTAAGGAAACGACAATCCTTAATAAATACCTTCAACGATCCGACGAGTGAAGTTAGGGTATTGCTTGCATCGACAAAGGCTTGCTCGGAAGGTATAAACCTTGTTGGGGCTTCAAGGGTAGTTTTACTTGATGTTGTATGGAATCCCTCAGTGGAAAGGCAAGCTATATGCCGTGCATATAGACTTGGGCAGAAAAAAGTTGTCCATGTCTATCATCTCATTACTTCTGGGACAAGGGAACAGAAGAAATACAGTCAAAAAGTGAAAAAAGATCGATTGTCTGAGTTAGTTTTCTCTCCTGAACAGAACAACAATCAGGTAAAGTTGTCATCTACAGATCTGGATGACATAATTTTGGAAGCAATACTTCAACATGAAAAGCTTAAAAATATATTCCTAAAAATATACCAGTCAAAGGAGTCCAGCATGAGTGAGAATTTTGGCTTGGTAGAGAAAAGCTGTGAAAATGTCCTCACCAACTGAGTTGTTGAACCTGATGCTCTTATCCTTGGTTTTGAAGTTCGATGCACTTTTGGACATTTTATCGGCAGGCATAAAGTTGATGTACAGTGTTATTTTTGGGCACTGGTAAGTCTCGATTCTCAATAAATTTGTGTAGTAATCACTTTACCTATTTTTAATTCTAGCTATTAGTTTCGAACTCTTTAAATTTAAGAAGTAAATGTTGGTAAATTCTGTTTAGTAAATCACTTTACCTATTTTTACTTGTAGTTACTAGTTTTAGTTCTTAGCTCTTTAGTTTGAAGGGAATTGAAGACCCAAGTATATTACCTAATGGATATGTAAATGGCAAATCTGTCAAGCTTAGGGAAGTTCCCTACTTAAATATTCTCCCAACTGTAATTAAGTTGATTCTCCCGTGTTAGCCAAGGCATAGGTGTTGTGAATAGAGGTAAGAAAGCTGTCAACAGAAAATAAGCTGCCAGGGTACCCTACCCTTAAAATCCCTTTTTAGCCTCCCTAGACTAAAGTATTTAGTATTGGGGCCTATCATTAACCTAAGTCTAACTATGTAGTTTCTTATGAAAATGACTTGGAAACATGGATGAAATATTTGGCCTGCTATATGTGAGATCTTAGGGAGAGCTCTTTCTGTTTCTGAAAACTTGCCATGTGGAAGTAAATGCTCATAACATTCTATGAACAAACATATGTGACATTTAGCATCCCTTTTTTCAGCCTTGGATTCTACCATCTGCAACTCTGCAAGTCTGTCATTTTTGTGTTCGAATTGCAGATTTACGCACCCTTCTTGCAAGAGTACCGTCGGAAGCATTTTCTAACTTGCATCTCATTTTTTGATGAATCCATTAGGTGGGGTAATTGCCACTTTTGGTCCCTTTATATTTTTTGGAGTGCTTAATTTTTTGAAGCAGCCATTCAGACATTCTGTGTAAATTCCACTACTCAATGTACAGTGACATTTGGATAACTTACCCAGAAAGAACTGCAGATTCTTGGAAAGCCGTTATGTTAGAAAGTATATAAGTTCAGATTTGCTTTTGTGAACTTGAAAAAACTGTTAGTGAAAAGGAAATGTTAACACAATTTCTTTGTTTGTAGGTTCTTTTTTCCCTTCTAATATTTGCTACTTGCATCGATGTTGTAATCCCAATATTAATGTTCGGGGTAAAGATTCGAACTTTCGACATTTTCGTTGATGATATATTCTTTAACCATGCTCAAATCGGCAACCTTAATATTAATATTACTGTATTGGTCTGATTGGGTCCATAGACACTATAGTTTTATAATACAAATGTTACTTGGAAATTGATGTACTGAATGAGATTCAATGATATTATAGATTGAGTTGGCTTGGACAATTTTGGTTATTTATATTAATGTTATCAAGAAAAAAATAGTACACAAAGGTAGAGGTTGAATGATCTGTTGACAAATTTTTACATATTGAGTAAATTGAAATTATAAAATGCGGGTGTACAAGCAATTACATTGTAAGCATTTTATTATTATTATTATTATTTTGTGGGATCGGATAAGCAAAAGAAATTGGTCGTGGCATTAGAAGGAATTTTTATTTTTTGAAACAAAAAATTAGTTTCTTTAATTAGCATTTTATTGAAAGAGTATTGTATTTCACTCTCTTCCGGCTAAGAATGTGATCATGCAACATTTGCTAGAAAATTATACACGCATTCAACATATTGTTTTCAGATTTTATTTGATAAGAATTTTACGTTTTGTTTTAAAAACTATTTTCGAAATTTCAGTCGATGTGAAGAACAAAACATAAGTTTCAAAAACTTATTTTATTTCTAAGTTTTGATTAATATAAAAATTTTAAATTTAGATTATTAGTTTTAGTTTGTGAACAATAAAATAAATAAAGTATAAACTCACAAACGATTCTCAACTATCCCAACTTTTAATTAAAAAAAGATATATATTAAGCATTACAAAATTATAGTTTTTTTTTTCTGGAAATATAATTTTGAGTATAATAAAAGTTCCACAAACATAGCTCATAAATAATGTTATAAAGTAATTTTTTTGAAAAATTAGTACAATCAAAATGGAAAGATTCAGATCTACCAACTTTACTAGTGTCATGGTTGAATTATACTAAAGTTAATATAATAAAAACGATAATGATGTCAATTATAAATTCTACAGTTTGGTCAATACACCACTAATTTTGAGTGGTTAGTTAATATGAGTTTAGTAACTATATTTCTGACCAATAGATGATACCACTAAAAAAAATTCTCTTAGATTAAATATAGTCCGTATCTACATCTCACATGTTGTAGTACTCGAGGAATAAAAATAAAATCCGAATCTACATCTCACATGTTGTAGTACTCGAGGAATAAAAATAAAAAACATATATCCACCCTCTTAAATAAAATTAAATGAAAAAGAAAAACATGTAGTTTATGGCCAGTGGCCCAATTAGATTCGTCGGCTCATGGGTTTAAGAAAATGTGGCCCAAAAGTTGGCTATGAAAATAGAAAATGAAGAAAAAGAAATTCCGTTGCCGGGAATCGAACCCGGGTCTCTCGGGTGAGAGCCGAGTATCCTAACTAACTAGACTACAACGGAGATGTTTAATTGTGAGATGAAAATAAGAAATGATTTTAAGTTTAACCTGTTTTGCCTCCCCAATTCTTCTGATTGTAATAAAACAAATTTCTAGGTTTCTCTGCTTCAAGTTCTTCCCAGTTTCTCCAAATTTTCTTCCGGCGATCCTGTATTCAACTAACCAACCATGGTAATTTCTCTCCCTTCGATTCACTGGCACGTAAAATTGTCTATGATTTCTATTTCTACGGAAAGGCACTTCTCTGAAATTATTCACTTTATTCGTTAGTTCATATAAGAACAGTGTTCAGTTGGAGATGCAATTTTTTTTTCTTCCTATTAGGTGAAGTTCTACTACGTAATTTTCACGATTCGGTCGACTGTTTATTTTCTATTGGGCACCGAGACATTGCATTGTTAGTTTCTGCTCAACAGTTTTAGTTATTTTTCTTTTTAATTAAAGACAACCTGAGAGATTTGGCTTCTTTTTTTCATATTTAATTGTTAAATCAGTTACATTTTTTTTCTCCTTTTCAAGATTTGAATCAGTGCCATTGGATTACCGGTACGACATAACTTGTAATTACGAAAAGAGAAAGCATAAAAAGTCTTTGAATTTGTAAATGTATCATGACTCACCGAGTATTTGGGGTTAAATTTATCGTTCATGGTTGTATTGAACTTCAAAGGTTGATTTGTGGCATTTTGAAGTTTCATGGCTTGCTCCAGTTAAGGATCAAATGCTTTTTGCTGCAATTAACTTGTATCCGAAGCTAGGGGAGTAGTTGATATTAGCTGTACTATGGCAAGAGATCAGCAGGAACTATGCTGCTTGCATTTGTTGCTTTGAGTTTTCTAATCTTCTTTCTTTATTACACACTTCTTATGCACTTTTACGTGTCTATCAATGCCCCTCACCCTCACCCTCACCCTCCTACTCAAATATCCTTGGATTTCTTATATGCATCGAAATGGTTAACATTCTTTTGGTGGGAATTGAGTTTTACATTCATATTCTTTCAACGTAAAGTGTTTTAAACTGATTCCTTTCTCTTACCAGAAAGAGAACCAAGAAGGCAGGCATGGTTGGAAAATATGGTACTATTTAAAAATTTCAATTCACGCTTTATTATTTTTAGTATATTGGAGCTTACATGATTATTTTCGCAGAGAATGCCTTTTTCTATTATCATTACTCCGCATCTAGTCCAGTCTGAATTTATTTACTCTTTGTTGCGCCCTAATTGCTAGAATATTATATCTATTTCAGGGATTGCTCAATGAGTTGCTTCATTCTTATGATAGAATTAGAATGCTATCCTTGTATCCTGTTTGAGCTCTATTGTTATGTAGTGTTTTTACTTGTTTGGTTTTCCTCTTACAAAAGTCATTGACGACCATTGACGACCTTTAAGACAAAGGGACAAGTCCAAAAAATTATTAGCACCAAAGGAGAGAGAAGTTTCCTCTGTAGAAAACAAACCTTTCAAAACGGATTCCCCTGTCCTGGTATAGAAAATAAAGTGGTACCATTGATGGTTTTGGTGGTAATATTTCCCTAAAATGTTTTTTTTGAGATGTGAGTCGATATACATCAATATCATCACAAGCCCATATTTCTCGACTTTTGAAGATCCATGCTTAGTATTGGGATTATAATTACAAGCCTGTGTATAGCATACGCTAGTTGGATCATTTTCTGCATGGAGGATTTTCTTTTATTCTTTTCTTTTCTTAAATTCTGTTGTTGTCAGGTACCCAATATGGGGCCAGTCTACGGAAGCAGATTAAGAAGATGGAAATCAGTCAGCATAGCAAATACTTCTGTGAGTTCTGTGGAAAGGCAAGTAGTTTTCTTTCGTTTCCTAGTCACTTCTTCATTCTCAAAGTATATGCTTCCTACTTTGCAGTATGCAGTAAAGAGAAAGGCAGTTGGAATTTGGGGCTGCAAAGATTGTGGTAAAGTTAAAGCCGGTGGTGCCTACACTCTCAAGTAAATGATAAATCCTTTTTGTTTTCTTTTCTTGTTTTTTGTTACTTGAAATATGAATCGCTTTGATTTTAACGTTATTTTTGGTACCTTTGACAGCACTACTGTGACAGTGAGGAGCACTATTAGGAGATTAAGAGAGCATACTGAAAGTTAAGCCGACCCTTTTTCTTTTAGATTTCTCTTTGTTCCAGGCATGGTTATTTAAGACAAAGTGGAAGTTTTCCTTTTCTCCTCTTCAGATACTGACCAATWTCTTGTAATGGATTCTATTGATCGTCAATTGAGTTTTGAATATTTATAAATTCATACTTTTGACAGAACACTTTTTTTCTTTTTTTCCTTATTTCGTGAAAGAATTTTGGTCATTTATAAGAATATACCGAATTCATTGTACTTTGATCCGTGAAAGATTTTGTCCTCATCTTATCCCATTTCTCGATATTGGAGATTTTGCATAGGTTCATGGAATATTTATCGTGTTCTCGAAGATTTAAAAAAGAAAGATGACCCGTCGTCGACCATCACAACCTTTTTTAGTTCAACTTTGACCGAAGTTAGAAATTTACGTCTTAATAGRGGTGGAGGATCGAAATCGCAAGCTTTGGTGAATTCTCATGATTTGATAAATCTGAAACCAAAATAATAAATTACAAAATATRTTATAAAGGAAGAAGCACTACCAACGCAATGGGTTCACTGTAAACTTTAGCTTCTTTAATTTGTACCCATTGTTATAGCMATTAAAAGAAAAACTTTTATAAAGATTATTAGAGCGTTTTTTCTTATAGAACTATTCTCGTTAGTAGATCAACATGTGAAAATGAAGATTCGAATTATGAAAAAAAATGACTTAACCAATTGAATTAAAATTTTTATAAAGATTATTAGAACATTATTTCTTATATAATTAACTAAACATACTTTCTTTTTAGTAGATCAACATATGAAAAATGAAAGTTCGAACCTAGAATTTTTTTATCGAAAAAATATAACTTAACTAATTGAATTATGCTCTAAATTGGCAACTTTGTAAGGTGAAAGGATATAAATCATGATCGTATCGTTTCTGTCCCCTATGATCTCAAGACAAGAAATTTCAAAGCAAAAGGGAGATTAAAAACACTAATCAATGAAAATCTTTTTGTTGTACCTTCTAAAGCAACAAAGTTCAATCAATCAAATACTACCCGAGTACATATGGCTATCAAAGAACACTAATCACCACACTCCATCAGCGGTAGATGATAAATTTCATACACCACTTATTGTTTTCCATATTATTAACATTTAAGAATGGTGTGAAGTCAACAAAATAAAATAATATATAACTTAATGAATCGTTAAACAGAAGGAATAGGTACCTACAACTACAATGCTAGAAATTTTCCTTGAACAAAGATAATCTTGAAAAAAGGAACAAGCCATTGACTATTGCTTCCAAGTTGAAAGCAATTGGTGTAGTTACTTCACAAGGAATAACCTTGCGCCTATCCACTATGAACAGTTCAGGTCAAACAAATTCACAAAAGTTTAAAAGATAAATACAAGATAAGGCATCGTGACAAGCTATATTTGAATTGTCATTAATCAAACTGTTAGGTGCAGAAACAGAGGAAACAAGATAGTAATCTCCATACTTAACCTACCAAAAAGTGATTTTTTCTCTCCTTTTTTTGGGGGGTGGGGGAAGAAATTCTAAAGAAGCTCACCAAATACGAGCCATCATGAGAATTGGCACCTCGATTCACATGGGGTAGACGAATGCTTCATTCCACATTCAGACGCAGATAATGGAGGAATCTTCTTCATTATTATTCTCAAAGGAGGCATCTGCTAAACTAATTCTCAAAGCATGTCCTCCAACTGAGAAGAAGTTTCAGCAAACAGAGATGGATGCATAGAACTCACCCAAGTGAATGGCTTTAAGTTTCAGCTTCATGGCTTGTGGATCTTGAATCCGAACACTCTCGGAACGTAACCCTGAACGGCTTTTTGTGGCTTAAGGTGTCCATATGTCATCAGGAAGAGGTGAGGAAATGTAGTTCCAAAATAAGCTCCATCAATGTCTATATAGAGTTAAAGAAACTTAAGAAGTATACCAAAAGACGAGCTTGTGAAGACTGCTGTCAGTTTGATCCTTATCATTCACAATATATATAGCTTAAATGCAATTCAGTGATGGGAAACAAGTTTTGTCTAGGCAACTGAAGTATATGCTTAAAATGCATGTGTTACAAAATCTGAAAAATCGAGAACTTCAGTTTCGAATAAGAATAAACATGACGTAGACAGTAATTTTTTGAAGTCTCGTCCACAAATTACCACCCATTGGTCAAAGTCAGTTTACAGTTCGGACAGAATGATGGCTATCATCCTTCCTCCACCAAAAAGGAGGTAACAAAGAAACTTCAAAAATATGAAGGTAGGATCATATAATTCTAAACTACATTTTCGATCGTGTCACATTTTCTTTTCAACAAGTAATACGTTCCCATTACTTATCAAATCCAAAGGAACATGACTACAACTAACCATTTGAGAATAACTCCCCGTTAGACCAAACACTAATAATGATATCTTACCTGTCAAGATTTTTCAACAAACTCTAAGGAATCAAACTCAAAGAAATGATCACGAGGGCCTGGATGACTTAATGAGGGATGATTGTAGAGGTAAATTGATAACAAATGTGCAATGTGCATGCAAGTAGTCAAACATACGATCATGAAAATAAAGGATACTACCTTGATACTTTGATCGAGGATAATAAATATCCTCACATCTTGGACAGTATATCTTGACGGTGCTTGATCTGGGAATGTCTGATTGACCAACAGGAAGACAGGGTTGTCCACAGCAGTAGACTCTAGGGCATCTCCCGAAGTCATAATTCTTGTACTTGTCCAGCTGTGAAAATCATAATGGATTATCTGCCTGGCTCATCATAAGCACAAAAATAGAAGACGACCCAAAAGAAGATTCTCACCATAGCAGCCATGCCTTTACTTGTCAATATGTATCTCGCATGAATTAGACCGTAAAGCATTTCAGCTGCAGATTCAATTAGTTCATTCTGTTCCTCTGTAAACATATCACCTGCACATTTCACCCGTACAATTTTATTTGTGACAACCAACACCCGAATGAGAGATGAAGCTAAAACAAATACTGCCAATACGCCCCCAATTCTAAAAATTTTCATGACTTCCAATATCCAATCCCATTGATAGCTTCCTTTGCATTGTCGGGCATGAGCAATTTTGTTCCAGAACTAATAGTCGTTTTGAGATACTTACAACTTAAAAATATCTTCTAGTGACAAAAATACTGGTATTAACTATATAATAGAGCACACTTAGAAGGTGCTTTTAGATTTATGCATTTGTTGGAAGAGATCTTCTCAATAAATGATTTCTACGATATGTATATACTTGAACAAAGCAAGGCCAAACACATCTCAGAATACTATGCATTAACCATACCATTAGAGGACTCAACATCCAGAATCAAATCAAGAGCATAATCATAATATGGAACTTGGCTGCTTAAACCACAAAGGTTAAAGTCATCTTGTATATAGTCATCATCCACTTCACAAAAGAACTCATTTCCTCGCAGATTACAAAACCATGAAATCCAAGACGTATCATCACCATCAGATCCACTGACATCTGACTCTTCACTGTCAGTCTCAGATTCCTCTACAATTAACCAAGAGATCATAAGTTTAAAAATAATGAACTACAATAAAATATTTAATATAATCATATAGTGAAAAATTTATAAAGAAAATTTTATTCAACTCTTGAAAAATAAACAATCAGCCATCAAAGCATAAATTTTGGATAATTTTTGTCTCTGCAAGTCAATAATGCCCGTTGTCCACTGAGTAATTACTAATATGTTCTTTGTTCTAGTTACATACTGGTGCTATAAAAGAATGGTAAAGAAAGCAAAAGTTGAAGAATAATCTTGGACAGCAAATTATCACGAATAACATCTATATCAACATTTAAGAACCTGTCCCAACAGATCACAGCATGTGAAGTTAAAAAAAAATAATAATAATCACCATCAGCCAGTTGAGACTAAATTATTCCACAAAAATTGCAGGCTTTATTCTAACCTCTCTCATCAGCCAATAATCACTACCAGAATGCATTAGCGGTGACAAAATTCATTCTAATCAAGTATTTAATTATTCCACAAAGTATTGCAGGCTTTATACCACCAGCAGATGGTGAAATTAAACTATGTCGACAAATGAGAATGATTTGAATTTTTGACGTTTTGTCTCTTAATTAGAAACTATGCAAACAATGCATCGAGATATTTTTTTCAAACAAAAAAACTTTACAAAAAGAAAGGCACTCTGGAAGATCATTAGAATAATAATCAGCGCTTCACGTTGGAAGGCTTGAACTGGTCCCCCGTCTCTGCTCAGTGGAATGGTCAGCTCAAA